CCTGGGCTTTGCTTTTTCTTCACAAGACTGACTGCTATTTGTCTGGATCCATACAGCAGACAGAGCGCGGCCCCTTCGTACTGCAGACGGCTGCCTCAGCATGCCGCGCTCTACACATGGTCTTCATTTCCGAAATCAAAGAGCCTTTCTGTATACAGCGTGTGTTCCACCAGTTTAAGACGAACGACAGGCTTTATAGCTGATTTAACGCAGCTCTTTTCTATAGTCTTAAATGCTGTCCTCTCTATGTGAAGATCCGTGTCCAGTCACAGAGTGTGGGGCTCTTCAGTTCCACCCACATTCAGAATACGTCTAACACATTAAGGCCTTTCATCTCTGTGTGTAATTACAACCAGTCTCCTACTGACCGTAATTATATTCTTTCCTTTGGAAGATTTGTGACCGCTTTGGCGTCCTCTGAAAGCTTTAGAAGGAACATGACTTTTGAACAATTTCAATCACAAGCATTGTTTTTGGTGAATGCGCAATGAAACATCTGGTCACTGGTCTCCTCATGAGCTTTATACACCAATAAGCCAAAACATTATGACCACCTGCGTAATATGTCAGGGGTCCACCGCATGCTGCCAAAACAGCTCCAGGCCATCGAGGCACAGACTCTACAAGACCTCTGCAGGTGCCCTGTGGTATCTGGCACTGAGCTGCAGATCCTTTAATTCCTAAGTAGCGAGGTGGAGCCGTCAAGTATCAGACCTGGTGTTCCAGCACATCCCACAGTGCATCCGGGTGCCACCACTTCCCCAGGTTAATGGCGCACATGCACCTGGCTGTCCACATGCTGGGCTCATCAGACTAGGTGACCTTTTCCTTCTTTTTCTTGCTCGAAGGCCGGACACTTGTGTGCCCATTGTAGGCGCTTTTGACAGTGGACAATGATTGGCACGGGCACTCTGACCAGTCCGCAGGCCTAGGCTGCCCCATACAAAGCAGAGTGTGATGCACTGTCGTGTCGTGACACACTCCTCCTGTAACCATCATTTAAAATTTCTGTGTCACAGTAGCCGTCCTGTTGATTCAGACCAGTTGCAATAGCCTTCGCTGCCCTTGCGCATTGATAAGCCTTGGGTGCCCAACACCCTGTCACCGGTTCATGGATTGTCCCCCCTCGTACTCAACACTGCTGACTGGAAGCTCCCCACAAGCCATGCCATTTTAGAGATGCTCTGACCCAGTCGCCTGGTCATAGCGATTTACCCTGGTCAAGTTTCTCAGGTCTTCAAGCCTGCCCATTTCTCCCACATCCAACATGTCAGTTATGAGAACTGACTGTTCGCTTACCGTCTAACATATCCCAGACTTTTATGAGATAATCAGTGATATTCACATCATCTATGAGTGGCATTTCACATCAAACCGTTCTGAATGACTTTGCTTACATCTTAACCCTCGAACTGCATAGGAATTTTGAAAAATTCTTCATCTCAGGCCCTGATAGATATTACACGGTAAGATGACCACAGCTTTAGTTGCATGCTTATTGGCTATCTGCTCATAAATGTGTACACATTTCTATTCTTGTCTGAATCTGTCCAACAAAAATCTAAATCTTTTATAAAGATTATTTAGACATAATCTAAAGTCATTTAATACAGTTTTCTGTTAAAAATTCACTGAGAATTAAGAAAACACTTGTTAAAATATATGAATTAATTCTGTCCAATACATTATTTAAAATATTTTTTGTTGTTTACTACAAAACTTACATATAGCAGAACCAGAAATCATAACGTTTACACTCATTGGAGTATATATTTACCTTACAACTATCTTTTAACAGATCAGAATTATTTCCGTTTGGTTGGAAAATCTGTGATCGTCTTGCCAGTTTTCGAGGCTTGAAAAGATGGCAAAAAATGTTCAAATCACAAGCATTGGTTTCAATCAGAGGTGGACAGTGTGATGATATATCGTTATCATAGCACAATTAATAACACGATATACTCAGAAAACCTTAACGTGACATAATTTCTCATGTTAACAATATGTATTTCAGCAGGGGAGAGAATGTTGGTAAACGTTTTGTGTTGCAAGTTTTGTTAAAAAGGCTTTTGATAAGGTTCCCAAGCAGTGTAGAGGTTCTGCTCTGTTTTTGGTCGGCCATTGTTTAAGTTTGTATGCCAGTGCTACAAATCCATCAGACCATAATTGACCATGCTTACCCTGATGTAGTGCTGTCATTGTACTTTTGTACATTGTCATAGTTTTTATTGGGGAAATGAGAATTGTGTCCATGTGAATTCTCACTAATTTTCATGCTTAAGTATCCATCAGAGTTAATGAACAGATATTCCTTTAATCACAGGGTAGAGAAAAAGCAACAGAAAAAAAGACTCACAGAACAGTTAAGATGGAACTACTTCTTTTAAGAGGTTTACTTTTTTAGGTGTTAGCACTAGTGTCCAGAAGCTGAAAAATACTAGCCCAAAGATTAAGCAAGCATACAGCAGAATATATTTGACAACATTTTTTTTTAATTAGCCGAGGGAAATCAGCAGGTTTTTGTATCAGATGTCTAATGTTGGCTGCCTCTTCAGATGAGCCATTGAGCTAAACTAGAGCTAACCGGTATATTGGATGCTGATGGAGACTTCTGATCTAATACAAGTTATGTTTTCTCCTCAGTGGACAATGTGCCAACATGTTAGTTTGTCAGAGAAATATATTTTCACTGTTTGTGGATCTAGCTAACACTATCTAATCTAGTTGGTGAAAAACCCATGCCAGAGCCAGTCGTGGAACTACACATTCTCGGCAACATGTTCCAATAAAACAACCGTGTTTCAAGCAGCGAACTGTTTTACATTCCCGTTTAAACACAAAATCACAGTTTCCATAAACTGTTAGCCTCCATATTTTCTCCTTCTTGTGATGGAACATAAAGAATACCTGAAAAGTGATTTAGGAATTCAAATACTGACACCTCTATTGTATAAATGAGTACTTAAGCACCCATACACCTTCCTGTATCTGCCAATGTCAGTGTACATATATAAAAATGTGAATTATAAAACTTGGATTAAACCTAGTTGGATTAGCATTATAGAAAAAAATTACATTTATTTGTTGAGGGTTACAAATGCAGCGAAATCAATCAAATGTAGATGCTTTAGTACAGTAGCCCAGCGTCGCCTACATGTTGTCTTCTGGAAAAATAGATACGTTATAAAATAATAGTCTGAAATATTGGTCAAATCTAAACATTTGTTCAACGCTGATTGTTTTTTTAGCAATTGTCCGCCTAACCAGATGATTGTAATATCACTGTGCAGCTCTCGTTTTATTACATTTCTGTAACATTGTGTCTGTTCCACCTTATCAAACCCAGAAGAAATACATACTGTGATGCAAAAATTATCTTTAAGTATCATGATATCATATTTTGTGCCATATTTCCCACCTCTAGTTTCAATTAACACTCACTGAAATCGTTTGTCATTGTCTCCGTGCAACCTTTAAAGCACATTTAAATTTGACACTTTCAAAACAATAAGTGCTAGTATGTACATCTAAGCTGTCAATGTGGGTGCATTGTGATGCTTTTCCTTTAACATTTAAATCCAGTCCAGGGTTTTGTTATTCATGTCTGATACTAGCATCACAATGATCACAATCACAGTAATATCCAGACAGATAAAACAAAGATTCCAACTTGACCCCTCACATAGCGTGCCGCACTCCCCACCATCTGTGACCACCAAATGGGCTTTGTCACCAGAGTTGATAGATCTGATGAGAGCAAGATAAGGCCAAGAGCCTATTCTTTCAATGTGTCCAGCAGAAAACCATAAAACACTCCCATCTGAATGGATGGAAAGAAAGATATGGAAATCTGAAGTCATTTCTTCTTTCTTACTTTCTTACAACAAGGACTGATAAAACAGGTGCTCTCAAATTGTTTATGCTCCAGGTTATTCAATGATGCAAGACTCATGTGCATCTAATAGGAGCAGTATGGGGAACCGAAGTCCAGAGAAAAGGATGTGTGGTAGGATGGCAGGAAGACAAGCAGAACTGTGCTCCCTGCGCAACAGGTAGGCAGCTTTGGCTCTGGCACAGAACCGGGTCCAACAATGAAGACGTTGCAAACTGTTCCAATATCAAAGAGGCGGTGATTTCTGCATGGACCTTTGGTGGAGTGGGTGAGGGGGAGTTAGCATGTCAAAGTGGGAAGACAACAGCTGCCTGCTGCGTCTCCATCTGGGCCACAATGGCCTTTTACACACAACATGCTAATGAAACAGTGGCTGTAAACAAAGACACCACAGCCGTTTGGGTCCTATGTGTGCAGACAAGGTGGCACAGGCTCCCCACGAGCCTATTAAAGGGGTTCACAACAAAGACTGAGATGGCTGCTTGGCAAAAGAAGCAGTGATTGAATCAAAAATCACATTTTCTAAAATCATTTTAATTCCATTTTTCTGAGGTCCCTTATAACGTTTATGAGGTTCAAACCCAAAAACATAATTAATTTTACGCTATGTTAGTTTTTACATGACCTGTTTTTAAATTTAAAAAGCTGTTTTTTTGTGTTTTTTGTTACTGTGCACTGTTTTAGCCACTTAGCTGATAGCAACCACACATCTACTCACTATACTACCTAAACCACAACAATATAAACATGAAACACGATAACTGTCTCCTAGAGCTGCATCATAATAATAATAATTAATCTTTCACAAATAATTTAGTTCACTTTTATCTGAAGCCTTTTAGCAGCCGTGTATTTGACTTCGGCTGATGATTTTAAAAGACCGGGTAATGCCGACATAACACAGTTCACCAATAGGACGACGATAACGGCTTTCAGGTGGGCGGGGCGTTGGAGGCGGGGCTAAGCGCGAAGCTTCTCCAATAACGGCGTTTGATATCTTGGACAGGGCCTCCGGTCCAATCCGATGCCGAAAAGAGCAGTCGCGTCACGACCTGCTGTCCAATCAAATGCCGCGGCTGGTTGCCGCGTCAGCGAGACGGTTTTCAGTTCTCAGGTTTGAGTCGGTTTTGATTCACTCTCTCTGTCCTCCTCCTGCCGAACGGGGCTCCTGTTCAGGACAACTTTGTACATTATTTCCACCTTTATCTCCCCACATTTAACCAGCCATGGCCGACACTGCTGTAGACACGACCACTGCCCCAGAGATTACCGCAAAGGTAAGCTTTTTTCGGAAGGGTCAGAAGATAGAAGTGCCGCGTACGTTAAGGTTAAGGTAGCGTTAATGTGGCTGACTGAACTTCGTTAGAGTGAAGGCTGAGGCAGGTTAACGTTACTAACGGGGATTTTTCATTCGGTTAAAACTAGACTGCGCTCGGCGAATTTGCTAGATAGTTGTAGAGTTAATGATTATAATGGCAGGAAAACATGCTGAAAGTCTGGCATGGGTGTATCCAACTAAACTAAACTGTTTTACCGTTGGAGAACGCTCGCTTAGAAAATCCTGTCAGAGATGTTGGCTTACGTTAGCCAGCTAACGTTAGCTTGCTAAACAGCGTGGTAGCGTTAACGTTAAGTGACGTTAAGCCTTTGTCGTCTGTTTGATCGCTATGCAGTTACTGGCTTTTACTGTATATAACCTTTTACAATTATTAAAGAAATTAAACTCGTTCTTTGTTCGTTTGTTACCTGAACCGTACATTTTTTTTTTTGCGGAAGAATCTTTTCGTTTTGGCTCTAAACAGCGACGGTTTGAGATGGAAGGCAAATTTCGAGTAAGAACTTCCAGAACCGACTTATTTTCTCCTCATTTTGTTAATTTTCATGTTTTTTCTAAAGCCGTGCCGTAATTACAGCTGAAAGGGCGGGAAAGCGGGTCGCGCGCTCCTCGGCTTTGTTCCCCGTCGGCCACGCGCTTTTCTTTTTGTCTCCGACTCGTGAGCGCGCCTCACGCTCTGTCGAGCTGCGGCTGAATTCGATGAGAAGTAAATACAGTCGTCACGGTTTAATGATGCATATCTAACATTTTAGACGTTTAACAGTTAATTTGCGAATTTGGGTAACCTTGGCAGGTTAATCCAGAACGGGTTCAGATATTTCAAGATTTCAGGTAGCAATTGAAAAAGACAGATAAGCAGAATTTTGGAGGAAAAGAGTAGCCAGGCGGTTTTTAAAGAGCCGCGCTGTTTGCTCACTTACACATGGCGTTTTGTTTAGTTGAGCTCAGCTCAGCCAGCGTTTGTGGGCTCTGTGGTCATGACGTTCATGCTCCTTGTGGGCGGAGAGGGGGGGCTGAAGGAAACACACTTCCACTCAGTAACTAATTCAAAGCTTAAAAAGGAAATGAAGAAGGAAAAAAAATCGTAATAAGGCAACAACCCTGCCTTATATATTTGTAAGACATTTTTTCTTTGCATCACTTGTAACCCCTCTCTTGTGTGCAGGACCTTAAGGAAAAGAAAGAGGCCGTGGAGGAGGTTGAGGAGGCCCCAAAGGAGAACGGTAGTGGGGACGCACCTGCCAATGGCAATGGAACAACGGTGAGTAAAGTGTGGGGGTATTTCCCAGCGGGCCCGCAGCGTTAGGCCCTGGCTTGCAGGTGTTAGGAGGCCCATCCCCCTTGTGCTCTTTTGTTTGGGTTTGAGAACTGCCACAGATGTAGCCAAGGCAGAGCTGGTATTTGCTTCGGCTGCTTGCCTGTTTCTCAAAGCGGTATGAAGTCCTGGGGAGTGTGGAATTTCATTCGTGCTCCTCCCACTACAAAGTGGCGATCACAGTTAGTCATGTACATTAACACAGTGACTCAGAGTGAAATACTGATTAAAAACCCCTTTCGTACTTGTTTTTCTTTTTAATCTAAACTTGAAACTGGGCATTTAGACCAAAACTTTCTCCCCTTCTTATACAAACAGGACTTCATTCTGATCTTGAAACTTGATATTTATGGTAAAACTTTCTCCCCTCTTTAGACTAATGGTGATTCTCATGAAGAAACCAGCAAAGAGGACAAGGAAGCTGAGGAGGGTAAGTAATGAACTTATTGATGTTTTGTATTAATCGCTGTGGAATATCAAGTAAAGATGGTCCTTGAATTGAAATCACAAAGTGAAACTCTGGTATTGTGGAACAGCTCCAGAGGGGGAGGGTGAAGAGAAGGCTGCTGAAGAGGAAGCAGATGGGCAGGCAGTGAAACGTCCAGCAGAGGAGGAGGTGGGTTTGTTTAAAACACTATTCTCAGTCATGATCGCTTTGAGAGAAGCCACATCACTAGTTGCTCCTGACATGTTTGTCTTACCGAATCCCTTGTCTTGTGTCCGCAGGAGTCGGTTGAAACAAAGAAACAGAAGACAGAGGAGAATGGCGAGTCCACAGAAGCTGAAGTGAAAGCCTAAAGCCTTTGCTATCCTCCTCGGTAGCTCTGTCTGTGTGGTCAAACTGACCTAGTAGAGTTTGTGCTTCTGTGTATATTCTACAGACGTTGTGTTGCACCCCCTCAAACCCACCACAAGATATTCTATTGCACTGAAGCCTATAACATCATGCCCCTTTCCCTTTTTTGTAAAATGTTATTTATTGGTGTAGGAGTAACATTTTTAGGACCCTTTTATAAAAAAAATAACCGTAAGTTTGCAAGCACATATTCTACTGTGGTTTTTGACCAGCAGATGCACACTCACAAGCCGCTGTACCCTTTCTCTTCATGTTCCGACATTTACATGGGTGATAACTCTGATTCACTTAAGACCAAAGATAAAGTTTTAAGCAGGGGCTAATGGACAGCGTTTAATCCCGACCGTTTGTGCTGCTAGTAGTTAATCCCTTGCTCTGCTGATCTGTTAACACAACAGATGGCATACATAAATGAAAGGGTCTCGTTACTGCGCCTAGTTGAAAAGAAAAAGATGGCTCGTCCTTTTTTCACTGGCTTATGTCATGTTAATTAACCCCTCTTAAACCTTAGCGTTTTTGGTCTTTCGTTCCATATGCATTCCAGAAGGATTGTACCTTTTTCATATCTTTATGTACAGTTTCGGTTTTTTGTTTGATCGGTTTGTTTTGTATGGGGGAGTGCAGAATCGAAACAGCCTATATCAGAACAACATGCTGGCACTGGTGTTCTCAGTCCTCTAAGCGATTCTTTTTTTATGATGTGTTTTGGTTGCTTTTGACCACTGCTTTGTATATTCTGGTTCAGGAGTATAAATAAAATCAATCTTGTCTTTTTAAACTAGTGTTGTCATTATTCTCCAACTAACTGGGGTGAAGTTTTGTGGTTGTGTGTTGGGTCAGTCATGGCTTTGAGTTGACTGGTAAAGAAATCAGGCAAGCTGATATACTGGACCATAAAAATGGGTCTGAATTTAATTTTCTGGTGTCTTTGCTTCTCTGTGCAAGCTCAAGTTAAAATGCACTCGTGTAGCAAATTTTATACTGTCAGCATCTCCATATTTCAAGGGCATGGACACCTTTTCTACTGCCACAGCGCCCCCTGGTGGAAACACTGCAAAATCAGTTTGCCTTGCTCAAACCATGTATCTTGGGTTTGTTAAAATTAGTTCTTTCTCCAGGTGCAACATAAAATTAACTCACTCAACAATAATATCCCTGTTATGTGAAAAATATTTCATTCTTCAATCATTTTCCTTCCTGAGGGTCCATACAGCTGCAATAATGCCTTGTTTTCCAGTGTATCATGTTTATATAGACTGGACAACCAGAATGGAGAAAATGTTACTGGATTCATAAGCTTTATTAATTTGTCTGGGTTGAATGTTTCCTAGGGACAGTCGATCAAAATGTTACTGATCAGTTTCTGTTTTACAGAATGGCTTGAAGGGAAATTCCACCACTTTTACAAAATTCCTGCCTAATTAAACCACAAGATGTAAACAATCAATCCGAGTGCTCTGTTGTTGAATCCGACGTTTTAGATGAACTGAGCCAGACTTACTGACAGCTGTGGTGACAGGAACCAGACGTTTGAAGGGTTTTATGTCTTTAGAAGCTGAAAGCATTTCATTTTCACGAAATGGTTGTTTAGACAATGCCTGATGTCACGAGACACTGTTTTACAGCTTATGTGAATATGTTTTACCTTAAAATGCTTTTGAATAGGGAGTGTATATATGACCACAGAGTTCTACCTTCCTATAACCCTGTGTTTAGCTCTTTATATGACCCGTTAAGGGAACTTATGAAAGGGTTCTCGCGGTCATGGTTGACGTCATGGGGTCATCAGAGGTCATACAGGGAGCTTAGAAGCTGAATTTTTTACAAAATAGGAATGCTCTCTGCCTCAGTGAGGTAATCAGCTAAGCAAACCATTTTTGAGAAGTCAAAGCGAAGCATAAACATTACAAATTGCTTTGTCTGGTTTAAGTGTGGTGTGCTGCCCTATTGTGTAGCCCTTAGTTTGCTAACTAGCATGTTAGAAGAATAAAGTAACAAACTTCAGATGGTATCAGGGATTCGCCAAAGGGGGAGATGATGAGGGAAAGTTGACAAGGCCATGTTAAAAACTGAAATGGAGGGTCACTGAGGATGTGCTCAAAGATTGCATTACACTGTTTCTAAAATTAGGAAGAAGAAACACAGGGCCTGGAGAACATAGGGCCATGAAATTTCAATGAGAAAATAAAGGGCCCAGGGAATGTGGAGCACTGGGATCATTGGGATGACCCCTTCTTAAAAGCCTTGCAGGGCACTGTAAGGAAAAAATAGTACAGAAAGAAAAACATATACAACATATTTACCACTGTTTTCTTATTACCAACATTACATGTAACGTCATGTGTTCACTGATTGTTTAGGGTGGTAAATAAAACACTGTAGACATTGCAACCCCTGGTTTCTATCACCACCACTGTAGAGAAATCCAAGTCACTGTGTAAATCCATTTTAAATCAAATCACTGTGAAAGACTTGCATTCCAATGACTGAATTATGCAGAAACTTTAAAAAAATCAGTGGGATTTCCTGAAACAGCCTTTGAACCGCTGGATGTCAGGGCTGAACCCAGTCCAGGAGGTAAAACCCAACCGCATAACTTCGGAAAAACTTGCCCTCTGTGATCTCGGAGCACAGAAGAGTTCGACATTTTGTGTTGTTCCAAGTGAGAAGCATGAAGGTCTGCCCCCTAGTGGCCACTGGGAAAGTATCCCCTGCACATTTTTACCAAGCTTGCAAGCACACCTCATATGAAAGAGCTCAGGACAGTCCAGCTTGGTCACTGTTCGTAATGTGTCTTCCTGATCTCCTGCACGCCGCCAAACCGATAAAGGGGTTTGGCCCGTTTCTTCCGTTTTTGGACGCCTGCTCCGTAAGGCTGAGCTGTAGTCACTCACACCCCAGTCTCAACGTCCGCTCTGCCTGATAATGACAAGAACGACTGTCATTACAACCATCATGCCAGGTCACAGGGCAGCAGGCGGAGGAGCGTGCGGCTACAATGGCTCACTATAGGAAGGTGAGGGTGCACGACAATGCTTGTGACCGTCTCACACAATCAATGAACAGATGAGTTTTTTCAACGGGCGCATGCAGTCGAATCAGCCGCGCTGCTCAGCTCTTTAGACTCCGTTGAGCACGAAGCCAAAAGCATGATGTCAGTGGAAGGGCCAACCCATCATAAATCCATAGTTTATGATTTTGATTTTTTGTTTTTCATGTGTGTCTGTCTGCATAAAGCTGTAAATTCAAAGTGGTAAACATGCATGTGGAGAGTGTGTGTTTGTATGAGTGTGTGTGTGTTTAACTAACCTAACCAACCTAGCATATCCAGCTGTATGTTAGTGTAGTGGGGCAGTGTGTGTATGTGACTGTGTGTGTGGGTGTGTTCAGTGTGTAGAGAAATTACACTTAAAGCCCCAGAGAACCTAAATCTGTTTCTTTCTAAGTAGGTTAGAGCACACAGTATACATGTACAAAGTATATCCAGAGAACTTGTAGAGAGGAGAATTACCACTCTGTAATGTCTTCCAGGTTTCTCAAACGCTAGAGGGCGCTCCCGAGTGGGTCCAAAACGAATGGGTTAAGATGGAGCATTTGAGCAAAATCATAGTTTATAAATGCTGAAACATTTTTAATGTAAAAGAATACAATAATTTCCTAAACACAGAACAGCATAAAACATTTACACACAGCTGTTATATTTTTAAGAGCTTTTAAACTCGAGTTATAGGAGTTTAAAACGGCGCGTCATGTATGTTCATGACGTCAGTGAGCACAAAGAGCCAATGAGCTGCTCCGCTCGCCAACCAACTGGCACTCAGTAGCAGTAATGTTAACCAATCAGCACACAGTAGCAGTAATGTTAACCAATCAGCACTCAGTAGCAGTAATGTTAGCTTCCTGCTGCCCAAAACCTACTTGCTGTAGTAAAAAGGAAACATACAGGTGCATTTTCTTTGCTTTTTTAGTGAAATACATCCTTCTAATTTCTAAAATTAAAGGAAAATTCTGGGCGAGTGAAAAATTCTGTTTTTTCTTCTATTTTAACTTTCCAGTTTTTGGCCATTTAACTCTATTTAACCCCATTCATTGAGGACTCGCTCGCAGGAGCCCTCTGGCGTTTTGCAGTGATGTTTTTGGTATAACAGGGGAAATAAGAAACAGCCTCTTAATATATCTTGCGCGTAACCTTCCAGTGTCCCCTAAATGGTCATTGTATTTTGCCAAACTTCTCCTCTTTCAATGTAAACTAAGCAATCCTAATCTTGGGTCATGCGTATGTAAACAGTCCCCCCACCAATCACAAGGCTGATGTGGCTCATCCCACCCACACGCGCAAACTTTGTTCCTCTACAGTCTCTCTGTGTTCGAGACAGAGAGAAAGTTTATACCCAAGTGGAACCTAACCTAGCAAGCATAACTGAGCTATCAAGCTAGCTCATCTGTCTGTCGTCCATCTGTTTGTCTTTTTAACCGGCCACGCTAGCATTCCCTGGATTTATCTTTATCTAGCAGTAAAGTGAATAAGAACCTTAACTTTCTTAATAAATTGGCATAAAAGATGGATTATATTGTTAGTGAGCGATGAATGCAGTGAGGCCTAAAACCTGTATATGTAGAGTCCATTTCACTCTTTTCTCTCCGCTCACACAGTTGTGTCACAATCATGTGTGCTCATGTGAGCATGTGTATGTGATTGTGTTTGGTTAGTCTATAGCATAACCTGCTTAATGCAATAGTACGGGGGTTGTGTGTGTGTTAGACTATAGCCTAACTATCCTAGTATAACCACTAAGCATTATCTGTCTGCAGCATAACCAGTCTGTGTTTGGGTAGTGGGGTGGTATGAGTATGACTGTGTGTGTGTGTGTGTGTGTGTGTGTGTGGGTGTGTTTTCTGCGACTTAAAGGGCCCACATACTACATTCTTGTATTTTATTTTTGAGGTCCATGATGATGTATGCACCAAAAATAGTTGTAAATCATACGAACGTGATTTTCGAACCTCTTCATCACTTAGAATCAAACAGGCTGTTTTTGTTACTTTGCCGGATCTAAAGTTGCACACAAAAGTTTGAAAACCACTGATTAAATGACATGTTTTGTTGATTTTCTAAAGGAAAATGAGTTAACATCCTCTACAGAGAACAAAATTCAATTTGGCATTTTTCTAGAAATGTTAGTGCACAATTTCTATTTACTTGGTGAGTTTAACATATTAAAATTAAATAATAAAATATAAAATGTGCCATAACTTTTGCACCGACCATATTTGATGTTTTTTTTCCCCAATATATTAAATTTAGCAAATTACCAGTAATTGTGTACTGAAATGTGTTTTCTCTGTAAAGCATGTTAACCTACTTTCACTTAGAAAATCAACAAAACATAATTTAACCAGGGGTGCCCAAACTTTTGCAGTTAACTGCAGAATTAAAGTCATACAGACTGAGGAGTGAATTATACGTTGTGATTTTTATGATATGGGCCCTTTAAGCCTGGCCTACAGCATAAATAACCAAATGCTAGTGCAGTAGTCTGGTGTTTATGTGTATCTGAATTTGTTATGTGACTTAAGGCTTATCTACAGCATAACCGGCCTAATGCCAGTGTACGCAGCTTAAGAAATCGTTAAGACACACACGCACATTCTCTGTTTTACTGTTACACAGTCAGAAACAGAGGCCTACAGTAAGGCATTAGTGCTGATTCACATGCAAATATACAACTGACATCTTCAAACAGTCCATTGGCATATTCACTGAAACAGAAGGAACCCTTGCATTCAGATATGTGAGAGTGGTTTTTCTTCTATTTGTTTTCTGAAATTTATTAATGCATCAATCAAACTCCTCAGATAAACGGGAGATATAAAATCTTTGGATTCAGAACGTTGTCTATCTCACAGTTCAGGCAAACAAATCTGATCCATACCCCACATCTCATCATCATCATCTCACACACTAGTGTTTAGAAAACTGAAAACGCTCTCACATATCTCAGACAGAACTGGGAGAGGAATCACAGGCTAATGAATTTCTAATTTGTGTGGAAAGGTTTACAAAATTTTGCAAAAGTGAATGCACACGAGGCGTGATGTCAGTGTACAAAACAAAACTGCGTTACGTGTGCATGTGTATAAGTGAGCGTGTGAGCGTGTGTGTAAGCAGTATAAGACAAGAGCGTTAAATTTAAATGTGCACCAGTAGTGGCTGGCTCTCACTCTGCGGGTGCTCACCCTCCGGAGGTGGCAGCTGGTACACCACACACAGCGAGGAGTACAGGCAGCCTACAAATGACATCAGGCTGGCAAAGTACATCACGCCCTGGGCCCCGCCCACCAGTGAGGTCAGAGGGCCCATCGCCACAGAGACCAGAATCTGGGCCAGGAAGTATTGGCAGCTGAGCAGAGAGATGTCCACCCCCATACCCCGCCTGGTCCCATCCTCTGACGAGCCACAGAACTAGAAATCACAAACACACAGAACGGAGAGGTAATGGGTCACTGATTATACTGATTGTATAACTGTAACTGTAGATACACTCTAGCAAAGGTTGTAGGTATTATATAGCTACATATGCACTCTATTTTTCAGTTTTTAACATAATTTAAAAATACCTGTTGCTCTTTACATTGTCTGTAAATTTCATGAAGAATGGACCAAAAGAAACATCCCAAAATGACTTGAAAAAAAAATCTGGTTCCACTGACTTACATTAAAAGTAAAGTATCTTTTTCCTTCTCCTGTAAAGTTATAATTTCTTCAGACAACAGCGATATGCACTCTAAGAAAGATCAGGGGTAATTAATTATGATAATCATATAATTGTGTAACTGTATATATGTTCTAGGAAAGGCCATGGGTAACTGATTATGCTACTTACATATACAGTGTATAAAAAGTATCCTAATTACAAACCACAATTCCAAAAAAGTTGGAGGAGTATATGAAATGCCAATAAAAACAGAAAGCAGTGATTATTACATTTATTTGACCTGTATTAAACTGTGTTACATCACTTTTCCTTTTAACAATATTCAACGATACAGGGTGATTCAAAAAGATTCATCCGATCTCAAAGCGCCATATTTTTACAGCCGTGAGGCACCTAGGAACCAATCACAAACCAATTGAGAGAGGAGGTTATAGAGTTTCTGATCGCCACCGGAAGATGGCCCCCTTCAGTCTGAGAGGAGATGTGACCCCTGAGCAGAAAGCGTTTAATTTAAATGTCTCATTTAAACCATTTACAGTTTACTGCATTGTTCTGTAAAGATTTACAAGTGAAATAAATCATTTTGAAATTGGATGAATCTTTTTGAATCACCCTGTAGTTTAGGGACTGAAGACACCAATTGGCTCAGTGTGGTCATTCTCCTGTTACACAGTTCTTCAGCTGTGCAACCAAATGGAGCCTTTATTGTTGTATTTTGTGCTTTTCAATAGGAGGCAAGTCTGGACTGCAGGCAGGCCAGTCTAGCACCCGCACTCTCTGAGTACACAGCCATGCTGTTGTAACACATGCAGAATGTGTCTTGCTGTTGTCAAGATAAACTAATCATGGATGTCCCTGGAAAAGACGGCAGCATAAGTTGCTTCGAAAGGTTTATCTTCGGTGTCAATGGTGCCTCACAGATGTGCAAGTTACCCACACCATGGGCACTAATACAGCCCCTTACCATGACAGACCCTGGCTTTTGTATTTTACACTGGTGACAATCTGGATGGTCCTTTTCTTATTTGGCCAGGAGACACACCATCCGTTATTTCCACAAACAAGCTAAAAGGGTGACTCGCCAGACCACAATTATATTCCTATCATGCATCAGTACATCAGTACAAAGGTCAATTGACCTCGAGAAGTCGTCAGCACTTCCAGGCATATGGCTTCCACTCTGCACAGTGCAGTCTGACCTCGACGATGGTGTTTTTTGGCCTTTCCATATATGCACAGAGTTTTTCCAGATTTACTTTTGAGTCTTATTCATTAATGTCTCTCTAAGTTTTTAACAGTTTTTGTCCTAAGACAACATCTATGTCAGATTCATCACGTGTTCTTAAACCACAGAACTGTTCGCACCTTTGTGCTCTTGAGTGTGTGTAGATTCAGTTCTTACCTAAGAACAAATCCCAAATAAGAAAACACTGGTGAACTTCAGAATCTTGGTAAAAATGCATAAGTGAGTTTTTAAGAAGAAATTTATTCGTAAGTACTGTTGGTGAATACGGCCTGTTGTTCTTAAACTGCTGGATTATTCTCTAACATATTTTTTGTCGAAGTGGCGAGGCTCGACCCATCCTTACTCATAAAAGACAAGGCTTTTCCTAGATGCTCCTTTTACACCCCAGCATGATTACATCACCTGTTTAAGATGTTTTTTCTAACATTTCACAACGTACCTAGTCTTAAAGTGCCCCTATGTCAAGTTTTTTGGAACATGTTGCAGGCATAAACCATATAATTCTGTTAATCCTTCAGAGGGTCTAATGAGCTCGTGCTGTTGACAGAGCTTACAACGGAAAGCTGAAAAGATTTTTCTGTTTAAAAGCTGAGTGTCGTCTGTTGCTCATAAGATCAGTCACATCTGCCTGATATAGCAGGGCATTACAGCTGCTGCTCATTAGACCCTCTGAAGGATTAACAGAATTATAATACAAAAAAAACACTCCAAATCATACAAGTTAAACCAAGTAAGGGAATCCAGCATTCACTTGCAAAGAGAAGCTCATTAGAGACTGCGGTATAAAGGCACGATATCCAGAGGTGCAGCCTGAGGAATGCCCGAGTCCCATGACGCACTGCTGCATTTTTAACACTGCGGAAAGCATAAGCCGAGCGAAATAAGGCTTTTTATTTTTCAAAGACAGTGTGACCCAGAACTTTTGCAAACTGATGTTTTGTTTACAGGCAAGCTGGTGACAATTCTATTTTTGGATCTTGTATTAAACCGCTCTTCACACCATCTCAGAGCTGCGCACACAGAGCTACTCACATTCCAACCGTCTTGATATTTTGTTTATTTTCCACTTACATTCTCTCTGTTGTCCATTTTTATCCATTGTTGTCCAAGTCAAGTCAAATTAAGCTCTTTAAAAAGTATTGCTCAGATATTCACTTTTCCATGTTAAACCATTTTCAAAGTGCATTCAGAGACCATTCAGACTACTTTACTCAATTTCCAGTCAAAACAAGCATTTAGTGCAGGTTATTCATTTTTCAGTGTAAGGATAAGAAGCGGGAAACATATATTTAACAGAAAATTACAATAAGCCTTCAAAAGCGAGTGGAATATCAAATCTATCATTCTTTAATTTGTCTACTCTTTACTTCTGTGCATCCATTGCCACTTTTTCTACACTTTTATCATTCAAATATTAAAACTAACCAGTTACAGCTGCGTCCTGCCAATGAAAGCTGCCCTCTTGTGAGAGTCACTGACATTATGTTCCCCTTCAAAGAGACGCTAACATTCAAGCGACTACCCAAACACATCTTAACTGCCTCACACATTTCTTTCTCATATGCATTTTGTGAGTTTCAGACCATGCCTTCAACATGGTGGTGGTAGTATGAGGGAAGACTGATTGAAAGAACTCTGAGAACTTGGACTGGAGTTCTGGGCGGCTTCTGCCTGTAGCTAGAAGGCCAGACCCCCCTCATCGCTGAGGTAAGACCACATAAGATTGAAAGGGAGGAGACGGGACGGCGGTGGAGACTGCAAACACTTTGTCATGGTAACGGAAGGTGAGGATGTGAATTTATAGGTGCTAGATTGGAAGAAGGTGGGGTTTCAGGCATGTTCCTCCCCTCAAACTTCAGTTATAGCAAAACTACATTTCAAACGCCTAAAGGAAATATTTCTGAGGAGATCAGATAGAAGATTATCCGAGTTTCCAAAACAGGAGTCAAAAAAATTTCTGAAAGATATTGAGCATATGGGACTCCTAAAAACGAAGTGCTAGACCACCAAAAGTGTCCCCATCAGACAAACAGTATTCAAAGCTTTTACGTTTGAGAAAAAAATCAAGCTTCCACTCTTGCTTCAGATCTGAAAACATCCACAAGTGTTATTCTCCATTGTTCCACAGTGAGAGGATAACGCAAAGCTATGGGTCTAAAAGAATGAGTAGCTGTCAAGAAGCTGTTACTGAGAAAAAGAAACAGACACAAAAGAAGAACGTGCACTAGAACACTCAAATTGGACATGAGACGTGGAGGTGGGGTGAGGTTTTATGGACTGGTGAGTCTAAATTTGGGAAAAGTGGGATTACTCTGATTGTGAGAAGCACAAAACCTAACCAATGTCTAAGACTGAACTTTGACGGTGTGGAAAAACATCCCTGTAGATTTCTTTAAAAAAGGAAAAAAAGTCTCCCAAAAATGGAAGCTGTAAAAAGGCAAAGGTGGACACACTAAATGCTAAAAAATGTATATTTAATTGTTGAGGCTTCTCAGTAATTTTGTTTTTTGTTTTATGCATGTTTTTTTTATTTTTTTCCTGAATATTTTGTACTTAATGGCTGTTTTGACTGGAAATTACATCAATGAAAGGTTAGTGTCTGACTTTTGCAGAGTACTGTAGCTTCTTTTTGCAAATTGATGTTTTATTAACTTAAAACATTTTGTTTTGAATCTTGCATTAAAACATATCTTCCTGTAATCTCAGAGCTACTCCTATGAAAATGAAATATACTGGAATATACTGTCATACTCCACTGATGGAAGGTATAGAGGGCAGCTGTTAAACAGATAAGGTAAACCTAAATGGTAGGTGTTTCAGATTAAATGTCCTATTAGTGTAAGTACAAAATAGCTGGCAACTCAGGCCCCCCCCACTAGAGGGCGATTCCACCCACTAGAGGGCGAAGGCTAACACAGGCTTCCTCCGAGACCTGTGAAGCCACTGCATCTTTTCGAACCACCGCCCACACAACGTCACTGGACAATTGGACGCACTCGGAGGAAAGAGCCAACCGCCAGATCTGTTACGTCAGCTAACACACACTCCACAGAACACTGTTCTATTGGTACACACACCACAGAACACTGTTCTATTGGTACACACACTCACAGAGACAGCTGTTCTATTGGTACACACACCACAGAACACTGTTCTATTGGTACACACACCACAGAACACTGTTCTATTGGTGCACACACCACAGAACACTGTTCTATGGTGCACCACTCGCAGCCCAACACTGTGCTATTGTTACATACACTACACAGTGTTCTATTGGTACACACACCACAGAACACTGTTCTATTGGTACACACACCACAGAACACTGTTCTATTGGTACACACACTCCACAGAACACCGTCCTACCTGTGGGCTCTGGTAGTATTCGCAGAGCAGTGAGTAAGGCAGCGTGCAGAGAGAGGAGAAGAGCACGCCGTAGGTCACACACAGGGACAGCACCACGTACAGGTTGGTGGAGAGTGTGGCCAGACCCGTGCCCAGACCGAACGCCAGGTAGGCGAAGAAATACAGTGAGCGCAGCGAGAAACGTTCCTCCAGCTTCTCCAGAATGGCTATAAAACACAGAGACATACACAGAGGGGCAAGAAAAAAACATTAATGAATTAATCCATGTCTTACAAATCTGACAAGTCAAAATCACGTGTACATCGGATCATATTTTTTAGAGTTGCCCAAACATTAATCATTACTGGTTCAGTTCTTTCAATTCCCCTCTATCTTGGATCCACACAGAGAGGTGTTTTCAGTCTAAGTTTTTGAGAGGCACAATCCAAATGGAGTGCTGTGAGAAAAAAAAGCAAAACTGGCGAGATGGCTGCGCAAGAGACCAAAGAAACCCTAAAAATTACAATAACCGTTGTATTATCTTAGTTTATAATGCATTATGGCTCTTTTCTTCATAACAAGCTTTAAAAAAATCACTAATAGTATGCTAATATCCTGGTGGCTAGCTAGCTAACTTTCCCTTTCCACTTTAAATAGTCCAGCAGTACCGACACCTGAAGCACCAGAGCGTAACCACTGCTCCATTTAAGGTGGAGCAAGAAAATCTGAAAAAGAAGCTGGTGAATATCTGACTTCAGCTTCGTATCACTGAAGAATTAGAGGTGGGCAATAATAAATTGTTATCACATCCCCTCTTTAGAAGCACATGATGCCCTAAATGTAACTAAAGCCCAGCAGTGAGGAGCTGAACTTTACCCTCCTCTGCTGTCACTGCAGACTGGCAGGGTCGCCTACAGAGCAGCGCTAGTAGCTGTTAATGAAGTAATGCTCTTTTTATTTGAGGGTCCCATTTCATAGGGAAGATTTTAGTGACTATCCCTTGTAACTCAGTTCCAAGGTGCAAGGTGACACTCGAAAACAAGGGGTAGGGGAAAAATAAGAAATGGGATTGGGCCGAAGTTTAATACAAACCAAACACAGAAACAAAGCTGCAAAAACATACTTTTCTAAATTCACTGTTTCTGTGATGTCACAAAAACCAATTTATTTACATCTATCCACTTATTCAGACTACAGTGGTTTAGCTCCATCCATTCATAATTAAGCTTTATGAAGTGTTTGAGCTCAGAGTTCTTTTTGAGTGAGCCACAGTACCCGGCAGCCAATCAGAACAGAGCCCATTTATCTTATATCAGTCTGATCAGTCAACAAAAACAGCCTGTTTAATTCTAAGGGATGAAGAGAGGTTCAAAAAATGTCATGTAAAAATGAATTACGACCATTCTGGTATGTAAACTCACACACAAACATTATAAGTGGACCTCAGGGAATAAAATACAAGAAAAATGTAGGACATACACCTCTTAAAGTAGTTGAAATGTGAATATTGCTACATCCATGCTACTTGCAAGCTAAAGTTCCTGCACACTGAAATGAGGCTGTATGAAAATAAGTCAACTAAATTTTAACACTATTATATATCAACACCAGCCACTTAAAACTACTCAAAAGATTAATTACAGCCAAAGCAGCTTAACAAAACTTATATAATGCGTATTATGGTAAAGTTGCCAGACCTATGATGTTGATTTAAAGCACAACCATGTTGTAATATCTATGATTTTGACTCCTCAATGACCTTGTAGCTCAGAGGATCCAGTGACATTCAGAGGAAAAATGTATACCGGACAAAACATATCGGCTTTGGAACATTTTTGTTTACTACAGGATGCAACAGAAGTGATTTTGGAGAATATAATTTATTTTTCCCAAACAAAATGACCTTTCAACCCAGTCAAACCTGAAAAAGGATGTAATGCACCTCAGTTAGAAAAAAGTTCTCAGAGAGAAAAGTTTTATAATGTATATGATCACCTTATATAAGTGATTTCAGTAACTGTGTACTGAACCGATCTTAGAACTGGCATAGATGTTTTGATTACTGATGTTTCTAGCATGTTTCTGTTCATTTTTTATGTTCCCCATCTTCAAACTTTTGGGTCTGCACGAAAAAACCTAGATTAAAAAAAAAGAAAAACTTCTGAGCACAGGTGTCAGGTGTGGCACACTAACCTGAATAGAAAGCAGCACTAAATGCATAGATGCACATGCCCCAGCAGCCCATGCTGACCCCGGCGTTGTAGCGCTGGTAAGCCTTGGAGTCGTGGTGCGCTTTGGGATCCCCCTCGAACACAACTTCCCCCATGAAATCCGTGTAGAACAGCAGCATCCCCTCGAACGACAGCCAGCCTGACAAAGCACCAGTACACACGCTCGTGATTTGTACAGATAAAAACTGTGTGCGAATGGCTACGACATCATTATGCACAGATAAATAACCAGACCAGTGGTCTCCAGCCCTCTTCCTGGAGAGTTTCATTTGAATCTGCTTCACATGATCAGTCCAGGTATGTTAGATCAGAGTTGGTGCAGAATGCGGCTGGAATCCCATATAAAAATTATGTTTTTTTAAAAAAAATGTATCACAATATATTCTATCTGTATTTTTGGAATACGTATTGACATACAGTATAACAATATATTTCATTTTTGGAGGTAGATCTGAAGCAGAAAGGGGGAAATTTCACCTCCGCATTTAACCCATCCATGCAGTGAAACACCACATACACTAGGGGGCAGTGAGCACACTAGCCCAGAGTGGTGGGCAGCCCTATCCACAGTGCCCGGGGAGCAGTTGGGGGTTGGGAGCTCAGAGGCACTTCAGTCACGTACTGTCAGCTCAGGGGATCAAACCGGCGACCTTCCGGTCACAGGGCCGGTTCCCTAAACTCCAGCCCACAACTGCCCAGCTACACTATATCGCCACAAGTTCGCTGACACCTGCTTATTCCTCTGAAATAAAGGATATTGACTGGAAGCCTCTAATCTTCTGGCAGAACATAACACTAGCTGTTGGATCATTGCTGCGAGAATTTGATTGCATTCAGAGAGCATAAGTGAGGTCGGGTACTGATGTTGGATGATTAGTTCTGGATTACACTCCACTGCAACTTATCCTAAATATGCTGTCTGGTCCTCCATCATTCCAGAAAAGCAGTTCCACTGCTCCACAGCCCAATGCTGGGGGGGCTTTATAGCCCTCTAGCTGACATTTGGTGACCTTAGGCTCATGTGTGGCTGCTCCAAACCACCCCATTTAATTTGCAGTGCTTTTCTATGGAGATTCTACAAGATTATGTCAGCAGTGGGTTCAATTTAAAGTAGCTGTATTCACTAACTACAAGGGACACTTTTGCACATACAGTGTAGCTCCTCTGATTGTGTCTGAATTTCTTACCCAGAAAGTGGTTGATGCACAGGCTGCGCAGTGATGGAGGCATCCTGTAGATGGCGATGCAGAGCAGCTTCATAGACATCTGAGTGTCTATGGTTTCCGTGCTGTCACTGAGGTTACTGTCATAACGCATGCCATTCAGGAGGATGTTCGCCACCTGGGAAAACATGACATACTTGACTAAATGGTTTAATGTATTACGCTAAATGTCGCTGTCCTCAAAACATCTTCAAATTATCTCCATTTTCTTCAATTCCTGCTTCTTCATTATTTCAACACAACATCATCTATTTATATTGTGTGAAACTGTCATGATGAATAGACCAACAGAAATGCTCCAAAATTCCTTGAAATAAAATGTCTTCACATTAACATACATTAAAAGTTATGAAAGTTTTAGCCTTCTCCTGCAAAGTTACGATTTTGGAAATACATGTTTTTGGAATACTTGTTTCACCCCCTCAAAGAGGAATTCTACCCATTTTACAAAATACCTGCATAATTAAGTCACTGAAATGTGAACAATGTGATTCAGACGGTTTGATGTGAAATGGTTCATTGTTGAGAGATTTCTTGACTCAGATTTCTTTACTGTGGTGGGTGATAGGAACCAGGGGTCAACAGCACAAATCTAGCCATTTTTTAACGAACCAAAACGACCAGTGAGCCTACATATCTCCTGAGTTTTTAAAAAGGGGTAAATCTGAAACAAGAAGTTTGGGTACTATTTTGCCTAAGAATGTCCTGCATGTATCTCTCCACTATTAATGGATTAAACACTACACTTTAGGACAAAATATTATCTTAAAACTATCATAAACAGTGTTCAGGCATCAGGAAGCGTATTCATAATCACTTAGTGTAATAACTTTCTGGGTTGTAGCTCTTAAAGGCATTAAATGCTTCGGACGTCTGGTTCCTATCACAGCCACTGTGAACAGTTCAGACTTTGGAAGTTTCTCTAAAATGCAGCGTTCCATGTCAAACTACTCTGAATTGTTTTGTTTACATCGTAACGATTTAATTATGCAGAAATGTTGAAAAATCAACATAATTCCTCTTTAAAATGCAGGTGCCTGTATTTGGGCCTACATTTCTACATTCCTCACATCTGATAACTACATAAATAACAGACTTATAGTCATTCATGAATAATTAATAGAAGTTACTTAATAGTCTTAACCCATTAATGTCCATATCAGAAATGTTATATTTAATCTCGTCCATATATACCACGTTTGCCTGAACTCCAAAGATTTTTTTCATTGATCGAAGCGCGAGTCTAAAAAGTGAGGTATTCATCACTTAATTTGTCATTTTAAATTCAGTCTTTAGGTCACAGAACTACTTATGTTTAATAAAACAAGTGAAGATCTAAACTTGATTCTGAAGAATTAAAATTACATTTAATCCAAATAATTCAAACAGGTACTTTAAGCAAATCATTTTTCTCCAATTTCGCTTTAACATGCCTTTTTTTACTGACAATAAACAGGTTAAGACATTAAATGGCATCCATAAAGTTTTCAGTCATCTGAATCGTCAAAAAGTAGTAAGTCAAGGCGACCGGACTTGTTTAATCAAGAAGCTGTTTTGATTCTAATTCCAAGGGATTTCATTGGCTCTAATGAGCCATGAGAAAATGACATTTAAACTTCTGTGGTTGATTCACACCCAAAATGTCATGAAAACAGTTACGTCATGTGGCGTTTCTAAAGTGGGAGGTGTGAAGTTGTATGAAATTGCCAATGTAATGATGTTAGACAGTAATGTATGTAGCTGACAGATCTCTATGCGAAGCTAGAACAACAATTTCTAAACCAAGGGGGTCCTGCAGCACACAGCATCTGTCAGCTATTTACAATACTACCAGACAACTCTTCAAAGGGGAAAGTTCAGAATTAGTCATAAATGGAACTGTATCACAAGTTTATTTGGCCTAAATGCCAGTTTCATCTCCCATACAGCTCAAGCAATGGTCAAGACCATCTTAAAGCAAGACCAGGGTTGTAGCTTTGGCCTGTTAAATAATAACCTGAATTTCTGATCATCTTTCAAAGGACAAAGAACAAAACAAGGAAGAAGTTACACCATGTTCTGAAAAAAAAACAGGGAAATTTTTTGACCACAGTAGGTTAAATAGATAGGTTTTCATGTGGCCTAAGGCTGAGTAACAGCAGCTGCCCCTTCAAACGTGCTAATGTGCAAACATTAACAGTACAGCTAACCTCTGTAGTAGTAGATGGTGACGATTCGAGGGTTTTCCCCTCAGTGGACGATGCGCCATTATGTCAAGGAAATATCTTTTCATTGTTTCTGGTTCTAGCTAACACCAGCTACAGTAGTCAGCCTCGTTACAGTTGCACTACCTTGGATTTCCCAGGTACGGCCTAGACCAGGGGTGTCAAACTCAACCACTGAAAGGGCAATACTAAAAAATCGTAACACATCCCTGGGCCAGCTGTGTTTTTATTTATTTTTACTTAACATCTTACCATGACCCCAACTGGCCATTGTTTATTCAAAATATGCCAAAATGACAACGTCAAAAAAACTGAATACTTGAACGATTAAAAAATAATTTTAGATAAAAACAAACTCTTTTATATAAAACAATAGACTACATTAGGGGCAGATCACTGTTAAACCTCTTTAAATGTCCCCAGTGTACAGTAGGCTTATTAAAACTGCACATTTGCTTGAACTGGACACCTGGCATCTTTTGTTTTGTTTGGTTTTTCTGGTGCAGTCCCATAGATCATTGTTGGGGAGGGGATTTACGTTGCACTGCATGCTGGGAACTGCATGGTCACACTGGTGGACGAGCATACTAGCATCAAAACACAGCATACGCTGGTTTTAGTGGTGATCGGCCATGATGGTCTGTGCTGTTTTTTCTAGCAGGGTTAGCAAATAGGGAAGGGCCAGCATTCGAGTGCCTGAACATAATCCAGATAATGTCTTCCGGGCACCCCTGAGCGAGTCCAACATGAATGGGTTAATATGGAGCATTTCAGCAAAATCATAGTTTGTAAATACTTAAACATTTTTATACAGAAGAATTCAGACATTTCCTGAACACAGAACAGCATAAAACATTTTAGCATCGCTGTTATATTTTTGAGCGCTTTTGAACTCCAGTTATAGGACTTTGTAATGGCGCCTCATGTACGTTCGTGACGTCAGCTCTGCTCGCCAACCAATCAGCACTCATTAGAAGTAATGCCAACCAATCAGGACTCAGTAGCAGTAATGCTAGCATCCTCCTGCCTAAAACCCATCTGCTGTAGAAAAAATAAATATAGTATAAAAAAACATAAGTTAACATTTTGTTTTGAGCAGTTTAGCCCCATTCATCCCCATTCATTTAGGACTCGCTCACGGGCACTCGTGTCTTGCAGTTATGTTTCTGATATAATAGGAGAAACAGGAAGCGGCCAGGCTCCCCCTAAACCGGCTCTGACGTGATCGAGCTGCCACAGATGCATTGTTAAGGACGTCTTCGCTAACTAGGCTAACGGCTCTTGTTGATGTTAGCTAAATCTAAAAACGGTGACAATATGTATCTCTGACAAAGTTACATGTTGGAACATCATCTGGAGGCAGATGTACAGAAGATGATGAGTCCCTCAGACTCCATGGATGTACCATTTAGCGGTAGCTCATTAGCTTCTCTTAAGTGTTTACTTCTGTTACTCGTCTAGTGTGAAACCTACACATTAATCTCAGCTATATTTTTAGGAATAAAACATGTTTTCAAACCTCCAGTGCTATCAGTTAAAAAGTAGGACTACATGGAGGACTTTTCTGCTTTGTTGTTTGCGGTACACATTATTAGGCAATTACTACTGTTTTTACCTAAGCAGAATGTTTTTGTCTGTTTTTCATACATAACAGTTTGTCATACAGTGTCAAAAACCATATAAGCAAGTCTGTTTGAGATTATTTCTCAACTCGATGTGGTTCGAAGCCTGAAGATTTAGGAATGCAGTTTACACAATGGTAGCTGATGGCAATAAGCTTCCATTACTAATTGGCTAGATTAGCCTGTTGGCTCCAAAGCGAAACTCAATAAGCAAATTTTAGATACCAAACATAACTTGGCTAATTAACTACAGGGAGATTCACTCGAAAGAGGCCCCGAATATTCTGTAATAACTCTCACTAAGACGAAGCAATCTGAACGAAACAATGTGCAATGAGCTCCTTAGTATATGGAGCTTCGAACAAGCCGGGATGCCCCTGTGTTGGAGTGATGAGGTAGGCACCGGACAGCCTTAACCTCTGTTTGCAACTTCCGGGTGCAAACCCCTGTACCCCTTCATGTGTCTGGCAGAAAACGGAGCTCAGTTCCAACATCGCATGTAATGCAATCGATTACACATACGTCAAGGTATGTAGTGTATTTATTTGGTTGGGATTGCTTCCTCAATTACAGCAGAATATTCGGGGTCTATTTCGAGTGAATCTCCCTGTATAATTATAGTGAACATATAATTTTGAGTTTGTTTTTTTGCCAAATAATTGCTTTAAATGTTCTTAAAGCGTTTGACAAATTTACCTGCTGGCTGAAAGTTACTGTCCGTCTGCGCCCATTTTCCAGTCCAGCGCTGGGAACGATCAGCGGGTCATCCACTAAGGCCAGGCTCTGAGGGCGTTTCAGGATCCCTGAGGTACTGCCCCTCTGTGATCCAGCCTGCAGAGCCTCACTTGGCTCTGGGCCCTCGGTGGGCTCCAAATGTTCAATGGCTTGGACTACTTCAGTCTCCTGCAACCTTTCAGTTCCATGCAAACCTCCATTCGGTTGTGACGATTCTCTTTGCTGTGAATCATCAGTTGGAGCGGGAGCTTCTACTGGCTGTGACACCTGAGCAGGGGGTGTGTCTCCTGGGGGAAGGGAAGGGGCTGCTCCCTCAGGCTCCAGCGGCTGGGGCGTTTGCTGTCCAGTGTAGCAGTCAATCAGCACGCTGTCAATATATGACGTCCCTAAGGATGAGGCAAACTCATTGATCCCGGTTAAAGTGTTGTCCCGACTAATGAAGCTGCCGTATTTGGGCGTTAGGGGGCTGAGGGGGGAGATGGGGCTATTCAGACCCGCACAGAGCCGTGCATTGGCACTGCAAGAGTGACCCAGTGAATCTGGGTACCTGCGAGCAGAAAACTGGTAACTGTACAGGGCATCCTCCTCCTCCTCCTCCCGGTGGGATGCAGCTCCAGCTGGTGGTGGAGGGGACGGGGGCAGAGGGAGGTTAGGGCTCTTCAGGTTTCTGGAGCTTCTACTCTGAGACTGGCTCGGCACAAGAGGTCGCTCGGGGATGCTAGTGAGGGTCATGGCTATAGTGGCTATGAGCGTTATGCTGGTGAAGAGATAGATGACCCGAAGCTGGCCTCCCATTGACTTCCCGAACTCGGTGTGGTCCCAGTTGACACCGCCCACAATGTAGCCAAACCCTCCGCCCAGACCTGCATGAAGAACTTTGATTAGATTACAATCACAATTGATTGTCCCAATCAATCAAATCAATTTGTCCATTCTGAGTCCAATCAAAATCTGATTTTTCTTAACTAAAACAGCTGTGCAGTGCACACTTCATTTTACATTAGCTAGTAAAACAAATCCAATAAAGGTAAGATATTCTAAGCTGCCAAATACTTTAAAATGACAAATGACTTAATTGTAGTGTGTCTACAGTGAGACAGTATTGGAACAGGTTTTAATGACCATTTATAACATCTTAAATTCGCTAGTGTAGTATTTCAAAGCAGGCCTGTGCTTGAAACCGAACCATGCGAAAAATAACTGCAGTAAATGGTTAAACTAGATGTAGGGGGTGTTTTTTTCCCTTTGCCTAAATTTATCTTCTATAAAGGTCATTTTATATGCATAGCAATAACAACAACAACAGAAAAAAATAATAATAATACATAAAGTAATAACAATAGCAACACATTTTCGTACAGTAATTTTGAGACTGCACTGAGGCAGATGTGGGAGCAAACAGTAAGCTTCTCACTGTGTGTGAGCTGGAGCTGGACCTGTAGTGAATCTGGTAAAAAAAAACAGAATTGTGAATGTTACACAGACTTTACAGCCTGAGACTGCTTAGCTTAGACCGATGACTTTTTCCCTGAAGCCATTCAGGGAAAAAGTCTGAGGCCTGTTTTACCTGATGCACAAGATCTGTGACATGATTTTACTCATGTGTTTTTTCCGAAACCTGAAGCTGTTTTGTCTGATGTCTGAAACCTGACGCTGTGGTCTAAAGATGTCCTATCGTACCTCGTCACATACCAAAATGAATACCTGTTTTGACTAGAACTTAAATAATCAAAGGGTGATTACCGACATTTTTTGCACAGTACTGTATACACACTCAACTTCTGTATGTGACTGATTTAACTTTGTTTTGCAAAAAGGTGGCTTTGCCTGAGTTGAAATGCTATCACTGCGGATATCACAAGTGGCTGCGGAGGCGCTGGGCTATGCGCCTCACTGCTCCAGGTTATGGATAATGTTTGTTCATGTCACTTCTACTACAGTAGTGTAAACAGAGCACAGTGAGATACAACAGGCTGTGATTAGGTGTAATACATTTGATACCAAGTCATTAAAGTATGCCTGGATCGGCTCCAGTACAGATTTTTCAGATGGCCTGGGACGTCCCCAAAACTTCAAGTAGTCATATGTTTGGAGAAGCCTAAATTCAGGTAATAATGCATGTGTAGTAGAATTTAATTTGCACATAAACAGTGGAATCTGACCTGCCAGTAGCGCATGGATATTAAGCCCCCTGTCTTGGTCTTCTGGGCTGCACACGTCCATCATGTAGGCATGGCTGGGGTTATCGGCCGAGTCAGCACTGAAGTCCATCAGGACCACCCCGCACACCGTCAGCACAATGCCCCACTTGTGATTGTCAGCCGTGTCTGCCAGAGCTGAGCCGATGTCCCGCCCATTTAGCACCAATGTCAGACCGAGCAGAGCGCCTGAAGACACAACAGTGAGTGTTTTACTAGTGAAACATACCAGGAAATTCTCTCTTTAAAAGTGAAAACCATACGTTTGAATGAATACAGCCAAAATTACGTCTGACTTCAAAACAGTTCCAAGATCACTAGGCTGTAAATATTCTATCAGCACTACACTTTAAGACACACATGACAAGACAGACAGAAGAGGATGGACAGAGAATCTCCACAGTATATTGATCTTTCACTTTATTGGTAAAATCCCCTAACAGGAGAAACAAAACAGAAAGGAAATGTGGAGGATGACGGAAAGTGAAAGTGAGTGTAAGTGTATGATTCGATGTTAGTCAAGCAAGATCAGAATCTCACGAAATATCCAACAACACAAGTTTTTGAGAAGCTGCTAATGTACTGATTGTAGGGGCTCAAAACCTCTACACACTTAAAGAGTAACTACACCCCACTACTCTCAGCGAACTCCACCCCTGGCTCAAATGTTCAAAAACGGGAGGGGCACGCTGGGTGGGGCACTGCAGTAATGTTTGGATTTGGAGGTGGGGCTGTGAGGGAAACTGAGTGGGCTGGGCTGCTGTGTTTTTTTGAGCTTGCGTACGTTACCTACCAGAAAATACGGAGAGTGACGGAATCAAACGGCACTTTTGCAACTGAGAGTCTTACGATGTTGACAACTTTTCCCCACTACCATCCCCATCTTCAACGAGGGAAGGTGTTTCTGATCAGTCTTGAGCCTTAGCAGTGTGAGCCACTGACTCAAGCCGCAAAAGAGTTAGTAGTAGTGTCACAAAATGATTAAAAGAGAACGAGAGAGGCGTCTGAACGGTAGAACACTCCCTAAAACCTTGACAGCGAGCTTCTAATGATCTGTTCCGCAGGTCCATATTCAATATAACCTGATTTCTTAGATGCACTGAATTCCAAATGAATAAAGTGGATTTTTTTAACAAGTTTCATTCAGACATCAAGGTCACAGACTGCATCACCGGCCAGCCAGCGTTTGCTGCAGTGGCCCAAAATCCTTACATTCTGCAAGCTGTTCATGGCACTTACCGGTGTAACATCCGATTCAGTTCCCTCTCAATTTCACGTTCCCCTGTATAAATCGAACCCTCGAGCGCTGCACTCACTGAACAGAAATCAACGGCAAGCAGCACTGGAACTATGGAAAGTGGAAAAAAAGCTCAAGAAAGGCTGTACAGACGAAAGGCTGACACAGTCTGCAACAATGGCCCTATAACGTTAACCCTTCCTGAACCGTTTCGCTTTCCGTAGATCCAGTGTTGCTTGCTGTTGATTTCTGTTCAGTGAGTCGCGCCCGAGAGTTTGAGTTGTGAAGGGAAACGTGAATCGGATGCAACACCGGCAGCTTTATGGAGACTTGCAAGAATCCTCACTTAATCAGTCCAACATCAAGGCATATCACAGCCTTGTGAGGTGGTGCTGGGGGTATTTAGCTCAGCGCGTGAGCGTGGTTATCTCCTCCTATGAGTGCGGCACGAGTAGGGCATCATCAGGAGGCGGATACATTGGTTGACTGATTTGCATACTGTGAAGTATCTGCGTCTATAGCGGAGTTGAACCAGAGGAGCACTGCAGAGGCGGAACTGACCACGATAAAAATGATATTTTTACAGTTTGGAAAGATGTGTTCACATTTCAAGCAAGGCTGGTACATTTTATTATGACAGAGCAGTATAATTCAGCTGGTTTCATTGCATTTCAGGGTGCAGTTACTCTCTAAAGACAAAGGTACCGAGATCATGAGTTCTATCCCCGGTGATGCCACAGCCATCTGTGGCCAGGAGCATAAGACAGCATAATCGGCCTCACTCTCAGTGGGTGGGGAGGATGGCCGTCTTTCGCCCCCTTCATCACCCAGTGCAGTCCTAGCCAGCACATCTGTAAGCTGAACCTGTTCTCCAGACCAACAAACTCTCTGCACTGCTAGACAAAGTCAAGCTGAGCAAGCGGATAAAATCCTACTTCATTACATTTTTCGATGCCAGTATATCTACTCATTATACACAACCTATCACAGAAACACTGTTCAAATCATCTACTATAATCTGCTAATGAGTTATCTGAATTACTCATATTTGTTAGAGAGGAGTTAAAGCATGGTATCCTATTAAAATATGATGAAAAGTGAATACTGATTGGTGGTAGCAATGCTGTGCAGCGTGAGTGCTGTGAAATCAGCAGCAAAGCAGTAATGCAAAGCTTCATAGGCAAAACACAAAACTATTTATGTAACTTTAGGTTTTTCTAATGAAGGCATTTCGCGTAATTTGTGGTCGAGTAACATAAAAACGAGTAATGCTCAGAGTAAAAATGATTATATTGACATAAAGGGAATTTTATTTACAGAAGGTCCTGTAGTAATTTCCTTTTTTTACAGGTGCTACTCACTGATTTTATTTTCATGTGGATCGTCCATGTTCCTGCCTCAGTAAAGCTCTGATCATTTTAGTCTGATCATTTTAGATACACATATCTATCCAGATGACGCCTTACGCTGGACAAAAAAGGTTTCTGACCACTGCTACTTGCTCTGTTTAGTCTCTTGTCGCACGCATCCATGTTAAACACTTCTTGATTCAGGAAACAATGGAAGAGTCTCTTAACCATTTACTTGGTCTGGAATGCAATATAGAGAGTTCTCTTTGAATACTTGCGTTCACAATCATCAGATTCATCCGCCCGGTGAAGGGGTCCAAACCAGCGTTATAAAATGTTCTTCTGCACAGTGTGTCCAACTACGCATTTACACCAGGGAGGTCTCCAAAACATATATAATGTGATTTTTGTTTTTTATGATTATGAGTGATGCAAACATCTGGGTTTGTATAAAGTACAACCCTCTAGAAACTTGCTCATCCTGCTGTGAATTAATACATACGTCCCTCTGATAAACTTTTAAATAGAGCTAATGGTCAGTATTGTGATTTTTTTCCTACTTCGTCTCATACAACTAAAAATCAATAGAAAGGATCTGAATAATGTTTCACATAACAGATACTCAATACTTGATACTCGATACATAACAGATAATCAATTATTCCTGCCCATTAATTAGTGCTTACCAATTGCCAAGGCAAAGATAAAAGGCCTCCGACGGCCAAAACGCGACGTACAGCGATCACTCCACGCTCCGAGGATTGGCTGAAGCAGAAACCCTGAACATGACAGAATAAAGAGAGGGTATAAAGTGAGATTAATGGCTGCAGCGCTGCTGAGCTGCTGCGACTAAGAGGAGCTGACATTTAAGCTGATTTTGACACATAACTGGCATAATATAAAAGGGGCCTGTTCTGGCAATGACATGAAAAAGCATGCTTAACGACTGCAATGATTCCAAATATAGACTATCATTCAAAAATTTGGAATCACTTATCAAATGAATAATTTCTGACTTTTTGTACATTAATAAATTACACACATTGTGATATACGTTTTACAAACATTATAAACCAGATACCAAATGGTGGGTATGTTTTATTCATTAATTTCCATAATAAAATGCTATTAAAGGGCCCATATAGTACTTTTTTGTATTTTTTTCAGTCCACTTATGACATTTGTGATGGTGTATGTATCAAAAACAGTCGCAATTTATTTACACCTAACCATTTTCCAATCTTTTCTTCCCAGGCCGTTTTTGTTACTGTGCCTTTAAATATGCAAATATATCAGTAAAAAATTCTGATTGGCTGCCCTGTATTGTGTCTCATTCAAAAAACAGTCCAGACTGAAACAGTCGTTCTAACTTCAGCGCAAATGGACTGAGCTAAACTGCTAAATATGTGAATGTGTTGTTTTTTTGTGACATCATGAAATAAGTTGGTTTTCCATGATATGGGCCCTTTAAAACTCCTTAAAATCTTACTCTTATTACATACCAAGGCTTATTGTTCAGTAACTACAGGGACTTTAGTGCAAACTGGCTGAGCTATTCTTAGGTTATAGAAGTGTGTAATAACACTTGGGCGGCACGGTGGCATAGTGGGTAGCGCTGTCGCCTCACAGCAAGAATGGCCTGGGTTCGGGTGACCAGGGTCATTTCTGCCTGTTCTCCCCGTGTCTGCGTGGGTTTCCTCCCACAGTCCAAAAACATGCAGTCAGGCCAAGGACATGCTGAATTGCCCCTAGGTGTGAGTGAGTGTGTGAATGTGTATGTCTGTCTGTCTGCCCTGTGATGGACTGGCGACCTGTCCAGGGTGTATCCTGCCTTCCACCCAATGACAGCTGGGATAGGCTCCAGCACCCCACCGCGACCCAGAAGGATAAGCGGTTTAGATGATGTATGTATGTATGTATGTATGTAGTAACACTTTGGGCCCACCAGTGGCTTTTGGGTGTTTAAAGGGTTAATCACCAATTTCACTTTTGAAATATGAGGCATTTTAGAGGCATTTGATTTGAACACCCTCCTCATTTTTACATCTTTCTCAGTCATTTTAGGATCACATACAGACTTAAAATGTACAGCGTCCAAGTTTCCTACTAATTATTAAAAAACATCAATTACAGCATATTAAGGTAATTTTACACATTTTCCTGCAACAAGTTTTATGTTGTTGAAAACATTTATTACTAACGTTTGAGCGGTTCTGTACATGCTAAGGGATCTGTCAGTACCTAGTATTGGACTGATGAACCACACAAGGCTGTAGAACTGATCTGGAAGGCCCATCTGCAGCAGTACGGGAGTAACGTAGGCCGTTTCCATGGCGTAGCTGAACTCGATGCCAAACAGAATGCAGCCGTTAAAGAGGAGTTCAGGGAAGGTGCGGCGGGGTGGCAGCTCGCTCAGGTCCAGCTGGTCCAGCGGGCAGGGTGTGTTGGGCGGAGGGGGCGGCGAGGGTCGGATTAGTTTCCGCCGTTTGGGGTGCCTCTGGAAGTTGTTGGCTCGGTGGCTGAGGTGGCGCGTGGTGGAAGAAGGGAAGCTAGATGTCTTGGACAGGGTCGGCCGCCAGGCTCCTTCCTGGGAAATCCCAAGCCGGTCCCCTCCCGGACTGGCCAGGAGGGGGTCACTGGGGGTGCCCATTCCAGGAGATGACATCACACTCTGGACCGTGAGTTCTGCACGCAACAACAAAACAATCAAGTCAAATTAGGCTTCGCTGTCGTTCATCCGATTATTAGTGTTCTTATTCTGTCATTATCTCACAAACAAAGTAATCATGCATACAATATTCATCTGCATTCAAGCACACATTTCTAAACTCACAGTCATTACTGTAAGTCATGAACATATTTTTGAAATTTTATAGTTTTCCTAATATATGTAAGTTTTGCAGGATCCTGTTTTGTTACTGTTGTTACCTTGCATGTTACTAATTAATGATCAAGGAATTAACTCCTTAAGGCTGAAACAAAAATGGCTTTCACCTGTTTTATCTACTGTTTTCCATTAATAATGTGATTTTGCTGTTGATGCATATATTTTCATGTGCAAAAAATGTGACCTAACAAAGCCAACGTTGTGATGATTTTTACTTTTTTGAACACACATGAATAAATATAAAAGTCACTCTGATTAAACAATTAGTAATACATGCAGATTTAAACAAGCAACTTTCTCTTTTCATGTGGTTATTAAAGTTTGCAAAGTGTTGTTAATAAAGTTGCATGAAAAAATGTAAACATCCTGGTCAAATAACATGTTTCGTTGATCTTTTTTAAGTGAAAATAAGTTCACACATCCTTTACAAGGAACAAAATGAAATATGGCTTTTTTTCTGCAAATTTTAGTGCACAATTTCTATTCATTTGCTGTGTTTAACATATTAAAAAAAACAAAGTGTGCCATATTTTTGTACAGGCCACCCTATAGGAAAGAAATATTCTAATTGAGATCTCTTCTTGATCTCAGGTACTTCTCCTAGACACGGTTCGGTTCAGTCTGAAATCAGAGCGAGACTTAAGCCTCAGATTTTCTCACTTAAGTCAAAATGTTGTCACACATGTGGTTTAACTCTTTAGTGTCTGACTCATCTCACCCCAGTCTCAGCTGAGTAATATCTCCGTAAGAAAAGTGTAAGATCTAATCGTTTTCTTATACAGCTCTGTTCTAGATCATTCTAGAACTCTCCCAGCACTCCATCAGTGTAGAAGAACTCATGCTTTTCTCCTTCATCACCAGAACTTCTCACAGTGAGATGCTGATGTTAATCTCCTCTTTTCTCCTAAAGGGGGGTTTAGGAGAAACAATTCAGAAATCAGTGATCCTTTATTAATATCATATTGAGATCTGCCTTATTGCTCTGAGACAATCTGAAGACAGAATTCCTTCTGGGACATTTTATGTCTGATTCTTGTCCAATATATTAAATTCACATTCCAATCAAGCAGCCCTACAATCTGAGTGTAGGTGTTTAGTGACGAAGCTCCTCCAGAGCCACAGTGCTACAACGCAGTACACAAAAGGATAAGGCGGCTGGAGTGCAAAGGTCAATAAACACAACAAATGCAGATGATAAATTATTCAATACGCTGTGCAGTAACTACTGAAAAGGGCAGCTGTGAGTGCTGAAATACCCAGAGACGTGTATTAATGACGCTGCATTTGCTCATCTAAACCGTTATTTCACTTTACCTGAATGAAAGCAGTTAGACCGCCTGTTAAAACATGAAGTATTTTTTTTATTTAAAATATTTTTACAGTGATTAAGTTCAGTAAGTATGTAAGTACAGTAGACAGAGCCACGTACAGTCCTTAGATTATGTCGGGCTAACACGTTTGAGTCATGTTAGAACTTGAAAGGATGTAGATTTTCTCCTGAAATCAAATTTGAATGTTTTTAATACAGCATAATTTGACTGAGAATATATTTCTTACATCATAGCATAACAATAGTTCTTTGGCTTTAATGTCTCTGTGAGGCCTGTGCCATGTTCCTTGAAATGGATGCTGTGATTTGAGATAAGGATTTGTTTATGCTCATCTCCAGTCTATCCAACCAGACATGATGACAGCCTTTGGTACAGGAGCTGGAACTGGGTATGTCCATTATTGCGTAAGTGGGTGAAAGGTGACCTTTTGGGAACCTTCAAGGATTCCTTAGATTATGTCGGGCTAACATGTTTGAGTCATTCTACCAGACTGGTGACAAATGGACATGATAATCTTCCAGTTTTCCTTGTCTAGAAATTACAGCTTTTCTGAGAAGTGCAACTGTATCTCATTTGTGATGGAGGTTAGTGTGAAAGTGGAATATTTCAGGCTAAATTGACCACTGCACTCCCCAAGGACAGTCCGTCTAATGTAACTTTTTCAACAGTAAATTGCATTATGTTTCTGTGAATACTGTCTTGTCTGTTTAATATTATGTGTAAAGGGTGGACTTTGTGCTTCACAGACCTGTCAAGGACGGAGAAAATAACAAGTTATTAAGATGGAATGAAAGCAAAACTTTAGAACTTGGCTACACTGAAAGCTTAAATGACATCACTTCCTGTTCATCTGATTACTGAGTGCGACAGTACATCATTTTGATGGTGGACAATGAAAAGTTTTAGGTTGTAATTTACATGATACAATATAACGTTCAATCGTTTATTTAGATATATGGTCATTCAGAGCCGAAGGATTTAAGTCTTAAGTAGATAAGATAAGGTAAGATAAGATAAAATAATCCTTTATTAGTCCCACTTAAGGTTTACAGTTTGTACTTGTAACTATATAGACAATATATATAACACTAAAGGTAAAAAATAAGATAAGAAAATCAAACTCTGTCCTTCACAAAAATTACCAACATAAACAATTATAATCAAAAGAGCAAAAAATATTTACACTGTAATGGATATTTTATCCGAATTGCACATGAGGTACTGATTTATGTTACACATGGGATGGTGAGGCGTTAATGATATAAACATTATAAACAGAAAAGCAAAAAATCATTACAGAGATATTTTACAAGTGTTCCACATGGAGTATTGATTATATTGCACACAGGAAATGGTGATGAATTCACAGTTTGTGTTCAGTAGGTGTGTGAGGTCTCATGGGGGGTGGAGGAGTTTCTACTGGGAGCAGAGCTGGTTGTACAGTCTAACAGCAGCAGGAAGGAAGGACCTGTGATAGCTCCTTCACACACTTGTGGTGAAGCGGCCGGTCACTGAAGGAGCTGCCCTGTGCTGCCAGCGTCTCATGCATGGGGTGGGAGCTGTCCTCCAGCATGGATGCTGGTCTGGCTAACATCCTCCTGTCTCCCACCGCCTGCACTGGTTCTAGGGGGATTCCCAGGACAGAGCTGGCCCTCTTAATGAGTCTGTCAAGCCTCTTCCTGTCTGCAGTTGAGATGCTGCTGCCCCAGCAGACCACTCCATAAAAGATGGCTGATGCCACCACAGCGTCGAAAAGTCCAAGTAACTTAAAGTTACTTAAAAGTCTGAAATGGGTTCTGAACTCCGACTTCGAATCCATTTGGTAGAATATTTAAACGTAATTTTTCGCTTGTAATAAATGCTCATGTATATTAATGATGAACTTTGAATTATTATTTTTTTACGCTTGAAAAACACCTATTAGCAGATTTTCTGCTTATACACAGCATCTAACACTGTGGACTGTTTTCATGAACTTGAAAGGATGTAGATTATCTCTTGAAATCAAATTTGAATCTTTGTAATACAGCATATTTTGGCTGAGAATATATTTCTTACATCTTAGAATAACGTTTTTTTGGCTTTAATGTCTCTGTGAGGCCTGTGCCATGTTCCTTGAGATGGATGCTGTGATGTGAGTTAAGGACTTATGCTCATCTCCAGTCTATCCTACCAGACATGCTGACGGCCTCTGGTACAGGAGCTGGAACTGGGTATGTCCATCATTGTATAACAGAACAAAAGGTGACCATTTGGGAACCTTTAAGGCCTTCAGCCTGACTGAGAGCAACTCTTGCTGACATCGTTAAGAGGGACACTACCTTTGTTGGCTGAGCCTATACAATCTGTATCACAACAGTTTTGATTTGTAACGATGAATCAGCACCTGTAAATACAGATTGTCTATTTTACATATAATTTGCATACAGCTATAACTGTTTTGACCAAGTCTATGTTAGAGGGGGAAGACACCTGCAGGTGCTCTCACCCCCGACCACCTTATGTGAGCGAGATAACATGCCAAGATTATTTTTCTCTATTTTATCCATTCTTTTCATTATGCTTCCTTTCTCATATTCATTTAATCCTGAAAAACCTCATTTTCTTATTCAATTTTATAATCTATTCTACTTTTTAAATTAAGCGTATTGTGGTTTTCTCTTCTCAGTTTTTGGAGTATATAGCATCACAGAAATTATGAATGGGTGTTTTTCATATATTTCTTGTTTAATCTTAGTTATGCTTCGGTAAATTTTTTGAGTTCTGCTCAAAATTAGCTAGAACTGTCACAACTGAAACAGTCACTACTGAAACATTTGGAGTTTTGGTAGCGTTATGACTGTTCTGATAGTGATGAAGTGGAAGTTTCCATCATTTGTTTTAATAAAATAAACACAATTAAGGTAGAGGGTCATTCTAAGTGTGGGCAATATGATAATGTGTTATTATTATTGTGATAAATTATGTCTAAAAAAACAGTTAAAAACACACTTCATTACTTTACCGTTTAACTGTTCTTCTTGACTTGTTACTGGAATATCACTTTTACTTTCTTGTTGTTTGTGTTTTTATTAGATTTTTATTTATATTTTGTATAAGTTTTTTTTTATTTTATTATAGCTTTTTTATGTGGCACTACAGGTTCTATTTTGTCTCGTCCAACTTATTAAATTTCAGAAAAAAACGAATTATCATTATGCATACCGTATCATGAAAAAGTATTGTGATATTTTTTGCCATATCGCCCAACCCTGGGCCACTTAAAGCAAAAGCATTTTATTCTAAAGTCACTTGATATAAATACAGAAGATACAAATACGGAGAGGCCATGAGCTGTTGCTATAATTTTCTGGATTGTAATCTTGAGATAACAAAATAAATAACTTGTTATCTCAAGATAACAACTTTGTTTTCTTGAGATAACAAGATAATTAACTCGTTCTCTCA